ACCAGCATCCTGATCCCCGCCATACCCTATACCAGCATCCTGATCACCCCCATGCTCCATAACACCATCCTGGCTATTGCCATACCAGCGTCCTGATCACTGCAATACCTCATGCTAACGTCCTGATCACCACCATACTCCATATCAGTGTGCTGATCACTGCCATATGCCATATCAGCACCCAGCTTTTTAGGATCTCAACTGATCAATTTTCAAATATATGTCCCATAGTTTGTAGACTCTATAGCTTTCACACAGACTAAATAATAATATAAACTGTTTTGGGTTATTTTTACTCCACAAATGTAGCAGAATTCATATTGACCTACATTTATAAAGAAAAAAATTATCTATTTGCAAAATTTTTTAACAAAAACTAAGCAAAAAATGATTTTTTTTGCAAAAGTTTCAGTATTTTTTCATTTATATAGCAAAAAATAAAAAACCCAGTGGTGATCAAATACTACCAAAGGAAAGTTCTATCTGTCTGAAAAAAAGGATAAAAAAAAAGTTCATATGGGTACAGTGTTGCATGACTGAGTAATGTCACTCATTGTCCTGGACTGGAAGGGGTGAAAGTGTCCAGACTTGAAGTGGTTAAACAAGGCTCTTTTGATGGATTATATGTTTTCATTTGGCATCTATTACTTCTCAGAGTGTAATAGAGGATGCTAGGAGTCACTACTTCAGTGATAGAATAGGGTAAGAATTCTGCTACAGAAATTAAATTGGTGTTAATTACTAGCTTAGGCTTTAAAGGCTAAGTTTAACTTCAGGAACATGTTCCACCTGTATTATGTGGCTACACCCCTATAGCACCTGATAGATAAATGCATGTACATTGGCCAGCTTAACTACTTGTCCTCCTAAAGATTTACCCCCCTTCCTGACCAGGCCATTTTTTGCGACATGGCGCTGCAATACTTTAACTGACAATTGCTCGGTCATGCAATGATGCACCCAAATGAAGTTTACGTCCTTTTTTCCCCAAATAGACCTTTCTTTTGATGGTATTTGATCACCTGTGCGTTTTTATTTTTTGCTCTATAAACAAAAAATGACTGACAATTTAGAGAAAAAAAAAATATATTTTTGACTTTTTTCTATTAAACATGTCCAGTAAAAAACTTTAAAAATCAAATTTCGTCATAAATTTAGGCCAAAATGTATTCTGCTGGTTCATATAGTGAACTCGGTGTAGAGCTATTCACCCTGAGGTCAACACAGAGGACAAGGGGGCACTCTTTACGTCTGGAGGAAAAGAAATTTAATCTCCAAACACGGAAAGGTTTCTTCACAGTGAGAGCTGTGAAAATGTGGAATAGACTCTCTCAAGAGTTGGTTCTGGCCAGCTCAGTGGATTGCTTCAAAAAAGGCCTGGATTATTTCCTAGATACACAGAATATAACTGGATACTAACATTTATAGGTAAAGTTGATCCAGGGAATATCCGATTGCCTCTCGGGGGATCAGGAAGGAATTTTTTACCAGCAGGAGCAAATTGGATCATGCTTTGCTGGGTTTTTTTGCCTTCCTCTGGATCAACTGTGGGTATAGGATTATAACTTTTTTTTTTTTTTTCTGTGGTTGAACTGGATGGACTTTTGTCTTTTTTCAGCCAGACTAACTATGTAACTATGCTACATGTCTTTGCTAAAGAAAATCCCAATACGTGTAAATTAATTGGTTTTACGTAAAAGTTCTAGCATTTACAAATGGCGGTATATATACTGGAATTTTTTTTGTACTAGTAATTGCGGTGATCAGCGACTTATAGCAGGACTTTGGGCATTTTGACACAGGGGGGAACTCACTTGGTGTCGCTGACATCCCCAGTGACACCAATACAGTGATCAGTGCTAATAAAAAGCACTGACACTGTACTAATGGCACTGGGCAGGAAGGGGTTAACATGCTGGGTGATCAAAGGGTTAACTGTGTGCTGTGTGTGTGTTTTACTAAGAGTGCTGTGTGCTGTGTTTCACTGTAAGCACACTGTTTTGTATGGCTCTGCTATGCAGAGCCATACAAAGCAGTGGGCAGGAGCTGACAGAGGAGAGATCTGTGTTGTTTATACATAGGTCTCTCCCCCTTCGGTAATTCTCAGAGCTCGCCAGGTGCCAGCGGGAAATCATCAGCCAGGACCCGCAGATTGACAGCCAAAGCCACGAATGGTGGCACAGATAGGGTGCGCGCGCGTGCCCCCTACCAGGAACTGCAAAATCATGTATATATAGGTGATTTTGTGCATCCGTGCCACCATGTAGCAGTATTTCTGCTACAGGGCAGCGCGGAAGCTGTTAAACTTGTATTGCAATATGTCTGAACTAATAATTCCTATTTTTTAGTGCAACGTTTGCTGGAAAGGGTAATTAGCAGTGTGTAGAAAGTTTCTCTGGGATTTCTATTATTAATTTGTGCCCAGAGGCGGACTGACCGTTTGGAAACTCGGGCACTGCCCGAGGGCCTGGGGTCAGTAGGGGGCCCCATAAGATGCCCCTGGTACCTTTTTCATAGGCTTTTTTGAGTTTGGGCAAGGACACAGGGGCCCCATGATCCCCTATTGCCCGGGGGCCCCATGAGTTGTCAGTCCGCCCCTGTTTGTGCCTATTTGCTTGATAAATAAATGCATGTACAAGTTATTGGGATTTGAGCACTGGTATATCTTGTTTCTGACCCCTGACCATGACACTGAAGCAGACAGAATCTGGAGCAGCTGTGCATGGCAACCAATCAGCTTTTAACTTACATTTTCAAAGCTGAACTGAACAAGCTGCAGTTATAAGCTGATTGGTTACCATCCACAACTGCTCTAGATTCTGTGTGCTCCAGTTTTAGTAATTTCCCCCCAGTGAATTAATTCTAACCCAGTGAGGCTTATTTGCTAAAGAAGTGAGAATGTTCACACAAATCCAGTCATGTATAGATGAAATAAGTATATAAGAGTTTGGTTGTTATATTTGGCTAGATAATTGAAGTGAATCGTCACTCTTTTTTGTGTGAACATTCATAAATGCATTAGTAATTCAGCTTCATCATCTCATTTATACAAAAATGACACCGAAAACCAAAATCCCCCCATTGTTCCTGCTCCTCATTAATTCTTGCTTTTAAAGTAACACTATCTTTGGTTTTAAAAAAAAAAAATATTATTTAAAGTATATGTTCCAAACTCAGAAAAGTACCTTCTATTTCTATCAGCCTCCTCTAAATCTACAAATTCCCACTTAATTTGCAGCTGTGACCAAACTGGCTGTTGGAGGGTGGCTACATTTGTTCTCCATGGTCCAACTGTATGTATGAATGTAACCACCTTCTCTTGCTCACTCCAGAGATGGACTATGGACTAATGACTATGGGCTAAAGGATTGTAGTGTTCTTTCCAAACAAACAGAAACAAGGCAGAATAGGAGAAGTATGGTAGTCATAGAGGACATAAAAAGAGTCAGAAAGGCACAGTGAGAAATGATTTCATGAAAAATAAATTTCATGCCATTATATAGCAGATGTGTATGGATTATAAGGATATCATTTAGTGTCACTTTAACATAGACCCTTACATATCCCTTATTTTATAGCCTACCCTTATTGCTTTTAGTATTCTTTTGTTGAAAGAGTTTATTAAAAACTGTAAGCAAGCACACAATATAGAAAATAAAAACCATACTTTCAATGAATGAATTTGCACTTACAGCACACTTTATATTGTAATGTGAAAGTTGAATAGATATTAATTACTATAAGGAGAAATACTCATGGTTTGCCATAGCAGGCTTTCTTAACCTAATTTTAGGATATTTCACCAATTCACCTTGCACTGACGCAGAAAAATTGTATGTATAATGGCATTTTCTAAACCCAGAAGAACAAACATGCTGTGAGGACATCTGTACAAGCATTTCAACCTCAGCCATAATTTTCTCTACAAAATCCGCCTCTCTGGTTCATGTATATTTCAAAATGTGTCACAACACGAAATAAGCAGCTGCCTGTTCTAGTGTGCTATTCTACATAATAGAAAACATTCACTCAGAATTCCTGAGCCATAGGCTTTCTGGGAAATTGGTTCAAGACATGGTTAAGATGTTATTATTCTCCATGCAATTGCAGTGAGAAGTACATCTTAGGATCATCATTATTTACTACCTACTTTGGAATAACAATTGTACAAGGAGAGAGAATATGAAGGATTTATCTGTAATAAGGTTTCACTTGCTGTGGATTATTGGAGTGGTGTAGATCACATGCATACACAGCATACTGAAGACGTGAGCAACTTTACTAATTACTTCAGCAGGAGAAACCAAAGTTCAGTGTCTGGACTTTGCCGACCTGCATTTTATTTTAAATGAATAGGGCAATGTAGCAGATGTAACTCTAACTTCCACAATTTCTCAATCTCTAGAAGTAGCCTTCTTTATTACAGACAATCTGAATGCACTAAGACAAAACTGCTAAATTTTTAAGTTTACAGCATTCTGAAGGTCCCCCCTCCCGCCGCAGCCTGGGACTGTGATAAGTGGTCATGACAGCTGCCCACAAAGCAGATGCAGGAACACTTGTTCTCCATCAACTCTGTGATGAATGATCCAAGAAGTGACAAGGATTTAGTCACTTCCGGTTTCAGAGCCACAGCCATGGAAGCATCTAACCAAGCACAATCTGTGCTTGGTTAGTTGCTTTGAAAGGAAGGGGAGAAATCAGAGTCTAATAGACCCCTGATGTCATAAAGATTACTTGTCTCCTGCCTAAAGCTATCACTAGGTGGCTAGTCCTGACTCTGTAAACAGAATCACATTTACATGGCATCCAATTGACAGTTCTGGTATTAACCACTTCCTTTCAACACATTTATATACAGTGCTGAGCACAAATGAGTACACCCCTATTGAAAAGTAAGATTTTAATCAATGTCTCAATGAGTACAAGAACAATTTCCAAAATTTTGACAAAACTGAGTTTTATAGAATATTTGTTTAGCTCATTACATGAAAGTAACTTTAATAATATAACATAGAATACAAAATCTTCAGTTTTACTCAAATTAGTTGGTGCAAAAATGCATACACCCCATAACAAAAACTACTCCATCTAGTATTTTTTATGACCTCCATGATTTGTTAGGAGAACACCAAGTCTTCTAGGCATGGAATGAACAACATTTTCAATTCTTCAAGAACAACCTCTTTTAGAGCCTGGATTCTGGATGGAGAGTAATGCCCAACTTGTCTCTTCAGAATCCCCATATGTGTTCGATTGGGTTCAGATCAGGAGACATACTTGGACACTGAATCACTTTCACCCTGTTCTTCAGAAATGCAACAGTGGCCTTAGATGTGTTTTGGATGATTGTCATGTTGAAAAACTGTACAACGGCCAAGGGCACGGAGTGATGGTAGCATCTTCTCTTTCAGAGCCGTACATCTGTAGACACATGTAGAGCCGTACATTTGTGAAGTCATGATACCATCAATAAAATGCAGCTCTCTGACACTAGCACCACTCATGCCGCCCCACAGAAGGATACTGCCACCACCATGTTTCACTGTAGGCCCCATGCATTTTTCTGTGTACTCCTCACCTTTGTGAGGCCATACAGTTTTGAAACCATCAGTTCCAACAACACATTTATCTTGGTCTCATCAATCTAGAGTAGAGAGTCCAAGTAGTCTTCTTTTTTTTTCAACATAGGCCCTGGCAAATTCTAGGTGGGATTTTTGGGCATGGGCTTTAGGAGAGGCTTCCTTCGTGGATGACACCCATGCATGCCATTCTTCTGCAGTGTACGCATATTGTGTCACAGGAAACAATCAGCCCAGTTTGACTTTCTACTTCTTTAGCTAACTGCATGGCGATTTTCTTCAACCCTTTTCATCAGAAGATGCTTCTGTCGAGGTGTTAACTTCCGTTGATGGCTTGGGTGTCTCTGTGAGATTGCTGTAGTACCATCTTTGTTAAATATTTGTAGCACTTTTGCTACAGTGTTCAGACTGATAAGTAAAGCTTCACTGATCTTCTTGTAGCCTTCACCTTTTTTGTGTAAAGAAATTATTTTCTTTCTCAGGCCTTGTGAGATTTCTTTTCCATGTGGTGCCATTGCTGACAGCATGAAATGGGAAGGGGTTTTCTTTCTTAAGTAACGTCCTTTTATAATCAACTATCTGCTGGACCTGAATAATTAGACTCACCTGTAATTGAATTCTTGTTAACTAGGATTTTGTTGTCTAAAATTTAGCTTTGCTCCTTAGATTTTTATTGAGGTGTATTAATTTTTGCAACATGATCTTAAATTAATTTGTTAGAAAAAATATTTTTTTTGTGTGTGCAAATTAACAAATCTTGTTTGCAATTAATGCATTTGTGGGAGTATTTTGTGGTATAGTGTCCCATAGAAAATGTTGATTCTGAAAGGAAAGGTTTTCTGACAAATCTCTGGGGTGTACTCATTTATGCTGAGCACTGTATGTATATCAGATAGGAAGGGGTTAATGATCTCTATTTAAACTATTCCCACTATTAGGCAAAATCTTCCATGACCACTGTTTGCTGTGGCATGCTGCACTTGCACATCACAAAATTAATTTTTTCTTACCTAGTGTGCCTCAGGTCTTTCGTAATCTTAGTCAGGTACATGCTTTGAAGCATTCTATTGGATGCTTCATAGCACTCAGCCACTCTGGTTTAATTTTTTGCTCTTTTATATTTTTTCTTCAGTGAAATGTGCTGGCAAATATCGTTGTTTATTATGTCCTTAAAAAACTCCCACAAGTCTTCAGTGTACTTTGTTGAGAAAATGTGGTCCCATTTAGTACTATACAGTAAAGTGTACAGTCAATTAGCCTTTTTTTGAAACTTAGCTAACTAAATTGTCTCTAATTTCAGGTTCAATTTTTTTATTGGTTTTCTTGTTATAGTACAAAAAATAATAGTATGACGACAAATATGGAATTATACTGTCAATTTCTAAAAGTTTAACATACCCAAGGTATTAAAACAAACAGGATGAATAACACATCATAAGTCGAGATCTTTCTCCAGCTTGGACTGGCTGAGTGACATCAGCGATCAGCATGCTTCAGCCGGCTGTTCGCTGAAAACAGGTCCCAGGAGTGCAGAACGAACTGCACTCCTGTGATCTCCAGAAGTACAGCCAAAAGAGCTTTGGCTATACTTCTTTAAATAGAGGACATAAAGGAGAAGAACACAGTTTCTTCCTCATCTTATATCTGTCCCATATTGATAGTGAGAATGAAAGCATAGGACATAAAATAAGCGGACGAAATCTACTTAGAATCCACATCATATCTGCAATTGATTCTTTGAAAGTGCTTCCATGTCAACCCAATGTGGAGTCGGGCCAGGAATTGTAGTGAGCACTAATTGAGCTATTTGAGCTACTTGATGATAAGCGATTAAATTAGGGACACACAGGCCTCGCTGTGTTGTTAGAGTGTAAATTGTCATTTTATTAATTCCAGGGTGCTTATTTCCCCAAATAAAATGTAAGACTTTTTGTCTTAAAATAAAAGTTAAGGTCTCACCTAGGAATCATGAAAGGGAGATTTTGAAAGAGGTATAAGATGCTGAGTAGTATGTTCATCTTGACTGAAGAAATCTCAAACCAAGAAAGATATGGTGCTGACCATCTATTCATATCTTCTGAAAGTTTTCTAAACATAGGAGTATAATTTGCTGAGTAGAGGGTCTGCAGAGAGGAGGTCAAATGAATCCCCAGATAAGAAAGAGAATGAGGGGGCCCATTGGAACTCAAAGTTTTGCCAAAGCAATGCAACTGTAGGTTCAGAGAGATTGAGATTTAAAGCAATGGATTTGTTCCCATTTACTATTAGGCCCAGTAATCTTAAAAAGGAGGATAAAAGTTTCAGTAAATTGGGCAGAGTTGTAAGAGGAGAAGGTATGTACATTAAAACATCATCTGCATATAGTGCACATTTATGTTCGTATTGTCCACAATTAATGCCTTTGATATTGGGATGAGTACATATAGCAATAGCCACAGGTTTTATTGCAATTGCAAATAAAAGATGTGAAAGGGGACAACCCTTTCTTGTACCCCGTTGTATAACTATGGAGTTTGATTAGTAACCTTTAAAAAGAATACGTGCTGTGGGGTGTGGTATAAAGCACATAGAATGCATAGAAAGGAGGGGCCAAACCACATAGCTTTTAACACCAAGAACAAAGTAATCCCAAAATAAACTGACAAATGCTTTGTGAATGATTAGTTTATCAACAGGAAACTTTATTCTGATCATGAAGTCACATATAAGGAAGCAAGCCCTGCAATAAAAAAACGATGCAAACTGTGAAACCAAATCAATCCATTGAAAAGTGTCATACGCAAAAGAGAGTTTTATCACCGGATCATACAGCTGCACCTCCAGTAATGTTGTATACCTCATCCAGTGCAATAAATGTAGCAACGGATCTTATGCTGGAGAAACAGAACAGACATTACAAACAAGGATAAACTTGCACAGACACACCATCAAGGAACATAAGAAAGACGTTTCTGCACACCTGTGGGACATAATTTCTCACAACCAGACCACACTATGGAAGACCTCAATGTCTTAGTTCTTAAAGGAATTTCAAAACTATTAAGAAAGGAAAACTTTTGAACTAAGAATGATTTGACACAAAAGATAATGGCCTAAATCTAGACTTGGGTTTTCAAAATCACTATTTAACAATTTTACGACCCCCTCTGTGACTTTCTTCCCCCACCTCCACCCAGTCTATAGCTTTTTCTCTGTCTTATCTCACTAACTATGATAGTCCAATTACATTGCTGTGTACATTTGTTTGTTTGTTATTTTTCACTCAGATTGTCTTATTTTACCATTCTGCTAAAACGTTGTGTATTAGTACTGCTTGGACCTGGAATCAGGGGATATACCTCGAAAGCTTGTCCTGAAAAATTGTATGTTAGTGCAAATTAAAAAATATCACAGACAGTACGCAAACATAGCTCCAAATTAGAAACAAATTTCTCATTAGGTTCTTTGGATAAGCACTTTCTTATGTAACCATTTTCAGAAATTTCTCAAATAAAATGTCTCAGCAAAATACCACATCACTTGTCTTTTTTCATCTCAACACACACCTATAGCAGCCAATTAGAATTCATCTATCATTGTAGTTAAGCATTCTAAATGTAAAATGTGTGACGCAGAGTTGCCTATATTTCTGCACTTTAACCATCTTTGCATAGCTATATGGAACAGGCCCTTGAGAGTTTAAATGTATTATATCTCAACTATCCTTTACTAAATAATTTAATTATTATTTAGCCTTAAAGGCATTGTGCAGTCACACTGCTTTTTGTTCTGACTGTGACATTGACATTTAAAAGGATACAACTTGATACTTAAAAAAGAGTTTAAAAGGTTTTGGTCACAAAAGCATAGCGTATATTTCCCCTTCATTGTGCTTTCAAGTTGTTTCCATACAAACTTAAATGTCAAGGATTAAGGAGTCAAACCTTTAAGTGCAAACAAAATGTTACACGAGAACAGGTATAAAATTGAGAAGTTCTCAATATCTCTTTTAAATTTTCCATAATTTTTTTTAAAGATTTATCCTTTCTACATACATTATAATTGGTGTATCCGGACCTGTCCCTAAAAAGTAGTTTCAAGTTTTTCACTTAAATTATGAATAGGACTTTACTTTTCAAATTACTTTGTTATAATTAAGGCACTAAGCAGACATCATTCTGAGTTACTAAAGTGTGAAGTGCGTGGAATTAAGGTGAACACTTGGGCCTGGACCTTTGATGTTGATCAGTTATCTTAATTTTGTATTTTTTTTTACCGCTTACATGATCTTTTTTTTTAATCTTACAGTTTCAGTATTAAACAGATGACACTGCAGATGCCAAGGCAGTCTAAAGGTGCCAGTGTTCATCTGAGTGCTGAAGGCATTAATTTTTTTTTCAGTGAAGCGTCCCGCTTCCATGCTAGCACTGTCATAGGTAACATAGTGATCACGTAATCAAAAAACACATGGAAAACTGATTAGTGGAGAACTAAACTGTCTGTGATCACCAGGGTTGAGAGCTATCAGCTGCACAAGGTTTTGGAAT